CCCCAAAACCCCAAAACCCCAAAACCCCAAGATAGTAATCAGAACTTTAGAATTCACAGAAATAAATATAAAATATAATTTCTCATATTAATAATTTATTATAGAGGGAAAATGTCAAATGTTAATAATGAGTTCAACAATACAACACCAATAGAGGATCCTTACTAATAGCATTCTAAAAGTTTTGTTTAATCTAGACATAAACTTAACTAGTCGGTAGTAAACCCTCAAAGTTAGAGTCTAAACCGATCAAATACAGAGCTGAGTCAGAGTGAGGACTAATATAGCTGGGAAGGTGTTTTGAGGTTCTTAGAGCAAAGGAGTAAGTATTCAATTTAGATATACAACAATCTCAACAACCATACTATTAAATAGTTAAATTATTGCTTTCTTGATATTTAATGTGTTGACAATAGTTGACTCTTTAATACTACTAAATATATTACAAAAATGGAGTGTCGTCATTAACTTAATATTATAGGCAAGCATATAGCATCAGGTCCTCAATAAATAAATCCATCTGCGATTGTCTTAAAAAATCATGACTAGAGCGAGAAATCACTTTTATATGTAACTTATCATTGTTGTAATTAGAATTTTAATTAGGACAAACTATCAAAATTAGAGTAAGATTTGGATATGCAGAAAAAAATAAATGATACACTCATAAATCGTATCCAGCTATTGGAATAAAAAGTGATTGAGGGAAACAGCAATTCCAGAACAAACTCTGTAGTAAGAAGCAACTTCATTCACCAAACTTCAAACACCAGAAAGCCCTCTACTATCTCTTGTAAATCCAAGCATCAAAGAAATCAGAGTGAATAACTATCTCAAATTCAGCAAACAAATTCTTCATTACAGATGTTTAATCAGAATGAACAATCAAAATGAGAACTAGAAGGGATATATCCAGGTTAGCAACACATCAATGATCTAGATAACTACTCTAACTATGAAATAAAAGATGATGAGAATGAAAATGAATCCAATAATATGATCGAAGAATGGCATTAATAAGTTACCTTTCAATCTTCTAATCAAAATACAGAGGTAAATTCTAAGACTATAAAGCAAAATCAAAGTATAATTAAGAACAATCCTAATGCTCAAATCTAAGTTTAGAATATAAGCAATAATTAAAAACTAATTCAAACAGCAAACAATAGTAACAACGCTTCCACTCTCACATAAATAGGAATGGATTATTTCTAGAAAAAGTAATTGTATAACTAGATGAAAACACAAAAGGAACGTAACTCAAACTCTTATGGAGGATCTGGTTCAACTTTGCCTCAATAAGCCTAGCAAACTAACATTGCTGGTGGAACTTTGAATAACCCCAAATAAAACAAAATCAATAATTAGATTCAAACTGCATCAAGAAATTTCTAGTTCAGCTAAATGGGTTATAGAAACAATACTGAATACAATAACATGAATTCTTTGAATTCTTTTGATAACAGCTATCCATAAAGGATACAGATTAATTAATAATAGATACAACAATAGCAAGTATTTCCAAAGCATAAAAATATTGATTCATACAATTAAAATCCTAATCTAACCTATTACCATTATCAAAATGTAAAGAGCTCTCAACCCACTCAAGGAAAAAACTAATCCATAGGCAAGAATAATTAAAAAAGCAAATAGAATTCATTAGACATGTCTTAGCAACCTCAGCACTTTTAACCGAATTCTATTTAACAAACTTCATAAATACATTCTAATGACACACAATCATTTACTGATAATCTTATGAAGACTCTCAACTAAAAATTAAAGGGACTGAGCAATCCTAAGAGTAATAACATAGAAGGAGCCATTATTGAGGTTGACTCTAAAAATAGTTCTCCCCCACTTACACACAGTAACTAATCCTCGAAGAAAACTTCCCCTGAAATGTATTAGCAAAACTACCTAATGCAAAGAATCCTTGAGACCTTTCACAATTATAATGGAACAAGCAATGATTTAAACTAGCAACATTCTTTGAATTCACAGATAGTTAATACATCAATTTGCAGTCCTATAACCCCAATAACAATAATTAGCAAGTAGAAGTAAGGCATGCCTTAAATGAAACTTTAGAAATTACAGATAGATCTTAATGTTGAAGAATTTAAGGATGATTCTCAGAGTTCATCAGAGATTTAAAGTGCCTTGCTTGAGAGAATCGACGGTCTTATTAAGGCAGAGCATAGCTTAATTGGCAAGAAAGTGCTTATACCAAGATAAACCTTGAAAAGTCACTTTGACACAGTAAGAGATCTAAAATTTTGTTGTGATGATAAATTGCTGGTTTCTGTATCAGAGGACTGTATGTTGAAGTTGTGGGATATAAAGCAAATTAGATAAACTTAGCCAGAGGATGAGACAATGATTGAACCTTTTCAAAATCTGAGAGGACATACAGGTCCCCTCTTTTCACTTACATCTAATCATGGTAAGACGAAGGATGATACTTTATTGTACTCAGCAGGAAGTGAGGGTGTAATTAGAATATGGAGAATACCAAATCTATAAGAGTAAAAATATTATCCTCAAAGTGATGGCAAAAATTACTGTATAGGAGTCTTTTCATCTCACAAAGATGTCGTCTGGCAGCTAGCCTACCATCCTGTTGATGAGCAATTACTATCTGTTAGTGCTGATGGATCTGTTAAAATGTGGAAATCATTCGATTTCAAACTAAATAAAAATACTAACCTTAGGAGTAGCAATACTCATGTTAAGAATAAGCAATCAATGAATCAAGGTGAGGGAGGATTTGAAAGCATTGAGCAATGCACAAATCATTGCTTAATGGGCTCTTTCCTTAATAAAAAAGAAAATGGAGTCCTCGAGATTCCGACAAGTGCTGCTTGGATTAATACTAATCCAAATATGCTCATTATTTCCTATAGAAATCCTATTTTAGGATTATTTGATAGAATAACAGTAATTTTTGTTTGCATAATGCTATAATATAGGGTCGTTCCAGAGGTATCATTAATGTCGAATATGATGGAATCCAAAATCAACAAAATCAATTCTACAATCAGATAAACAAAGTAATTGTGCACCCCAATATGAATTTGGCGATCACTGCTCATGAAAATAAACAAATCAAAATATTTGACATCAACCAAAGTAAAATCAATAGAAGTTTAATCTTACAGTGAACTGTGTGAAATCGATTGTTGCACATACTGATGCTGTAACATCCCTGCATGCCAAAGATTTCACTCTAATAAGTGCTGGACATGATGGATCTATAAGATTTTGGGATATCAGAAAAATGTAGCTACTTTATGAACTCCCTGTATTTTTAAGATTTACTTATGTTATATTTAGGCTCATAGAAAGAAATATGATGAATCAATTACTTGCATTTCTCATCATAGTTCTTTAGGCTTACTAGCATCTGGCGGGGCAGATTCTGTCATTAAAATTTTCGATTCTTTATTAGTCTGATCAATATATTTTATTCATTTCATAACTTTACTCGAATCAGTCACAAACGGGGTTTTGGGGTTTTGGGGTTTTGGGGTTTTGGGG